GGTAGAATTGAAGATAGGATCAGATTGGTCCAATAAGAAAATTTTAGCAGAAGTCCAGTAAAAATGTTAGCCCACTAATCTAATCTAAACAACTTTAAAGTCTAGCTTTTGCTTAATTGACTAAGCCCAATGGACCCCCAAGATTGTATATAGTTTGGGCTACTTTAGGGCTGTGATTCGTGATCTTCCTAATCCTGCTTCCACCTATCAGAACGATGACGTTTGGCAGAATGGAACGAATCGCCGGAAGAATTAATAGGGAGGAACAGGCGAATAATGTGTGTCGGCAAAAACCTTTTTTAAGCCCCTAAACTTACCCCAAGATAGCATTAAAACCCCTAAACTAAAAATAAAGTAAATAAGCTCTCCAACTCTATTAATGATACAAAGAAGCCCTTCAGTTTCGTTTAATATCACCTTGAAACTTGAAAGCATAAACATCTATAAATGAAAAGGATTTATTTACATCGTTAGTAGAGTTAAAGGTTTATTTGCTTTGATTTTAGTTTAAAAGTTTAAATATTATTTTGAAATAAATTTAAAAGCTTAAAAAAAGTTTTTACTAAATGTGTCCCTATCAAGCACCATTCACCTTTAATTCCATTATTTTGTTTTGAACACGAGGAATAATAATAAAAAGAATCCAATTCTACATAATTAAAATTTAAGATTAATTATATAATATAAATCACGTATTTAAAATATTAAAAAATTATATATTATTTAAAAATTAAATTTTTATTTTTAAAAAAATTTATATTATTATATATATTAATTCATTTAATAACATAATTTATCACACATTATTAATATCAAATTTTCACCTTCTATGTTATTAGTCTTTGAACATATAGCTAGCGTGCCATCTAAAATTCCGAGGCGTCTCAAAAGTTGTTGCAAACAAAATCAACACGACCATCATTGGCTAGGAGCTCCATGCATTCTTTGAACTCTTGAGCCCCACACCCCCTCTCAAATTTTCTTCCTTTCCTCATCAATATCTTGACTTTGATGTCCAGTTTCAGGTTCTAGGAAAATATCTGCGGGCAGTTCTTCAACTAAGCTATCCAAAACGACGGCCGTGATCCACCCCCCGCGCCCCCAAAAAAAAAGAAAAGAAAAATGGACAGCATCAATATGATTTCTGAAATAATTCAATTATTCATCTTTATATAATGTTATTATTTTAACTCATTTATAAACTCTCCAATCTCCCACCGACAACTCTTGTTGTGGTTGTCACGGCCAGATATTGCGAAGCCTAATATGAATAATGCATTCATGTATTTTACTTTGCAAAATCTGAAAATAACTGAAGGAAATAAATGTATATTGATTAAAAATAATAATTAAAAAAAAAAAGAAAATAAGAATTTTTTTATATTCAATACTTTTTTTTTTTATTAAGGCAAGTGTTTAAGAGAAGGGGTAAAAAGAGTAATCAAACCCTTACCATGGTGAAAAAAACTTACATTAAACTATTAGACCACTAGATCAACAAACCTTTTTCTTTATACTAGATACTTAATCATTTCTTAAATTACATAAAAAAAGGATAAATAAATAATTACATCTTTACCATTTCTTTTTTTTTTTTTACAGAGGAAATGGTTAGATTAATAAGTTAATATCTGTTATGAGATAAATTGAACCTGAAACCAATAGTGCATTTTATCAACTGCCTTTTTAAGAAGCAGTGGCTACCATTGAACCACAACAAAAGAATTACATCTTTACCATTTCTTAAACCCCTTGCCTAGGGACCGAGTTAAAGGAACAACTCAGAATGCTGCAATTATCATGTACCATGGTCCACAAAAACTTTAAAGATGAGGGTTTGCCTTTGCCACATTGACACCGTTGCAGAATTATTGAAATGGCACGTCTCTTGAGAAAGTGAGTTTCTCCACTTTTTCTCAGAAATGTTTTAAACCACTAGCCTCCACAGGAACAACTTTATAGTTTATAGGTTCTAATGCGCCCACAACACCCCCCACGCCCCCCCCCACCCCCACCCAACATCCCCAAATTCTCAATATAATACAAAACATAAAATGGGAAAAAGTACTGCTATGCTATCTCTCAAAGGTCTCAACAGCTCTAAAGGGTTTATGAGTACTTCTTCCTTGCTATGAACTCACATATGAACAGTATGGTGTTGTTTTTCTAATTGTAATTATGGAAGTGAAGAATGAATCAAATAATGCAGGGAATACTTCTGGTACCAGCAGAGTTAACCTCAGTTTCTGGCAGGAACTTCAATATTACATCCCTGAGTCGACACCCTCTTTACAGTAATCCTCAACGGGAATGGCAGGGACTGGTACCTTCTGCCCTTCTAGGGCTGGTGTCTTCAATCTCCATTCACATGATTCCAGCACTAAGTGATCTGATTCTGAAGGAGCCAGTTGCTTCAAGTCTAAACACGTGCAATTGGAGAGAATGGAGGATTAATAACAAAAGATGGTGAGATTTCTTTCACTTTTTTGGTGACTTTCTTCTTCTCCTCCCCTGTCACTGATTTGATCAAGAATTTGACTTCCTCCTCAATTAGCACTCCCAATGAATTGCATTGTGCCAACCGTATGTTTTGCTGTTCCATGGCAGCAGGTGAGGCTTCTGTGCCATGTAATACAGCTACACAGATGCAAAATGCTTGTAAGGTGGATAATTGCGCATGAAAGTCAACTGCATACTCTCCCTCTCCAATGGTTGTCATGGCCAATGCCAGTGTATTATCTTTGGATCCCTATTAAAGAAAAAAAAAAATTAGAACTAATAATAAGACCAGTTTAAAAGTGCATGGACATCAATTAAAACCATTTTCAAATAAAAAGGTAGATACACTATCTTAAGTGGATATAACTATGACACCTACAATAACAAATTAAACATCTCAGGAACTAAATCATCCAACTCAATAAAACATGTGCAATGGGGTAGAGAGAATTCCATTTGCTTTCTAGACCCAATTAAAGGTACTTTAGACACCATAATTTACATGCATTGTTTAGTTTTTTATCAAATGCACTGTTATAAAAGTACACAGTCATAGAAGTTAGATTCGCATCAAGGCACTCGAGCAAAGTTCAGAGATACTACTATGATTCTAATGACAAACTTCATTATGGTAGTCATTTGGCTTAGAGATGAAATCTTACCTGAACAAAAAGTTCAAAGGGATGCTGACTATCCACTAGTGGTTGATTTGCATCACATTTTAGTCTTGGATTACCCAAGATGGAAAGGGGACAAGCCATGTCCCAGCCACCACAGTCACAGCCTCCCCCCAATCTCCACCTGTTCAGTAACGAAGATGGTCCCTGGCTTTCAACACAAGGTAAACAATGGTTTCCTGTTGGGATTACCACCTTCACCTGTTCTTGACTCTTGCCATCATGTACGTCTTTCTTACTTTCCTCAATGATGGAGAGATTGAGGAGGTTCAAATGCCTCTTATCTCCACTTTTATCCCCTCTTTTGTATTTTAAGCTTTCTCTCTTCCCAACTGGTACTTGAAGGACAATGGCTGCAATTTCAAGGTTTGGATGCAAATCTGCAGATGCCCATGGCTTTGATTCATTTGAAGAATCAAAGCTACCATTGTCACAAGAAAGATTTGATGGATCTTTCAGCTTCAATGCCTCAGTGCCATCACCCGACTTACAGCTGCCAACAGTCAAGACTGGATTAGAACTAGCTGGAGATTCACAAACATCAGTGGACTTTTGGACAGCCATTTCTCTTGCATGTGCAATATCATATAACACAAACTCTGTCACCATTGAGTCATTAGAAACCCCACGCTTTTTAACTTCTGAGCATAAATAACAGGAAACATGCATTTGGCCCACAATTGGGGATTCTTTGCTGCTATCATTTGATCCCCATATACTCGCATTGCCCTTCTTCCTACCTCCAACAGAGTGAAATGTGTATATCCAATTAAAAGCATTTTCTGCTTTCCATGTTTTGGCTACAAAAACATCTTCAAGATGGTTCATTGAAAACTCAAAAAATGGCATCCCATGTTTATTCACCAATTTAAGAAAACCATGTAGGTGAACTGGTGAGCTTGCAACAGCTGAAAGATGGTGATCTTTCTTGATAACCAGGGAGTTCAATTCTGAATTCTGAGCTGTATAAGAGAAGTCATGCAACAAAGACTTCCGCAATGTCCTGTTTCTCATTAAGTTTTCCATGCCAGTAGCTTTGCCACCACCTCCTGCTACAGAACCAAAAGGGCTTCGCAAAGATCTTGACTTCATAAATGGATCAAACATCTTTCTCATAGGGCTAAACCTGGTTCTTGAGCTGACTCTAGAGAAACATTCACTTTCCAATGAAAAGGGTGAATGAGGCACTTCTACCTTAGCAGAGTGTGACTTGGGCAAGGTGAGAAATGTGTCTTTCTCAAGAAGGTCATTACCATCATCCAGACGACCCAAAACTGGTTCACATTCAAAACTCACATCCTTGGTATCTCTCCGTAAGGTTTCAGCAGATCCTCGTTCTCTGATATCTGAATTTAGACAAATTTCTATGAAGCCATCTGACAAGCATTGTTCTTTGCTGTTAGATATTGAAGTTAAATTTGAGCCTAACTGCATTGTTGGATTTCTTTCCTGCAGGCTTCCCTCATCTGAACCGCACAAGGAATCAACAATTCTGAAGGAAAAAGAGGTGTCACTACTAGCAGACATTTCAATTTTACTCCTGCCCTCAACAGCACCCATGTTCTTCATTTTCCTTACCTCTTTGGAGTTTTGGTATGTTGAATCTCGCTTCAAGTCTGGATTACCTTCCACCCCAACAGGTCTAGATGAAGTGCTCTTGCAAGATGCACTGCGGTAGTGACGAAAGCTAATTTCCATGAAGCCCTCCTTTACCCTCAATAATTCATCTTTCCGCAAGGTTTTTACTTTTTCGTATCTGTTTTCAACCTTTGAACATTTTCGAAGAGGCGGAAGAACGGTGTTAGGACTCAGAACCAACTTGCAATTCTTCTCTAAGTCAGCCTCCATCTCTAGTCCCATTAATACATTTATAGTAGTACTGCAAGAAACCCAAAAGAGAAAGGATTAGAAACAAAACTCAAACTACAAAATGGATGAAGAAATGAAAATTAATTGGATATGTTTGACTTAGATCCTTCCCCAAACAGTTTTCAGGCAGAATTTTGAATTATGCATAACCGGATTTCTTACTAAGGAAATTCTGCAGAAGCTACAACCACCTAATACTAGTGACCATAAACCAACAATTAGATTTGACTATGTTCTTGAGAAGCACAAAAATTCACAGGTGAAACACTAAAACAAGACCTTAAAAATACTTTTACTCAGAATTATCATGAAACAAATTGCAATGAAGGAAGAAAAATTTGTAATGCTAGAACATGCAAGCAAAGAGAAAAATGAAGCAAATAATGTTTCATCTTCTAATCTTGAAGCACTGATTTAGAAATCCTTACTTTAGAAATAACCATCCTTTGGAAAAACATGCACCCCGTCAATGATTCAAAGCTTTGAGTTGAGATCACAAAAAAGGAAAAAAAAAAACTTGAAAAGAACAGTCTATGATCCCATAAACCCAGACCTTTGAACTAACAAGAAATCCAACGATCTCAATAAAAACCTAAAAATGAGTAAAGTGAAGGGGGGAGAAAAGGCTATATATGCAATTATTAAAAATAAAAAAGAAAACTTTATTTTCACTTGCATTCTAAGCCAAAAAAAAGTGGCAAAGACAAACATGCTGGAAAGAAATGGTCATACCCCACCAGATCTCACAGGAGTTAATTCAAAGAAAAACCCAACAAATTGCAAGCAGATGCAATCATGTCCCTCCAATCTTTGGTCTCAAATTCTGTATGAATCTCCAAGGAAAAAAAAAAAAAAAAAAGCCCCAACGAAAACCCATTCTCAAAGCAGGGTCAAGTATGATAAAGAAACAACATAAGTACAATGTGAAAGCTAAAAAACAACAGGAAGTAGGCCAATGGCAGTAAAGCACAAAAGTTATGGTTATAGAAAGAGAAAGGAAAAAAATGGAAAAGAAGGATTAGAGAGAGAACCCATGCCTGTGACTGTTAATGAGAGGTTTGGAGGGAGAAAAGAGTGAATGTTGGAGAGTGCTGTTCTTCTTCTTCCTCCCCTTTCTCTCTCACATGAGCAAGGTGAGACAAGCAGCTGCTAAAGCCTCTGTTCATGTCTAGCGTAGAGTGAAAAAAGCTAACTTCTTCATCGGCTGTAACGTTGGGTTTCCTTTTGCCGCAATTTTTTTTTTAATTTCGGAGAAATATTAAAATTAAGCCCTCAAACTTCTTCACTAAATTTAATTCAGCCCCCAAACTTCTCAACTTCTGGAAATAGAAATGAGAAATCCACCCCACCCTCAATGAACTACAAAGATCATGTGCCACACGTGACCTATTGTGAATCATTGGCATGGACATTTAGCAACCTGGAATGCCAATATGATATAGTTACATTACCATGTGGAAATAGAAATGAGAAATCCACCACAACCTCAATGAACTACAAATATCATGTGCCACACATGACCTATTGTGAATCATTGGCATAGACATTTAGCAACCTGGAATGCCAAAATGATATAGTTACATTACTATGTGGAAACAAAAATGAGAAATCCACCCCTACCCTTAATGAATTGCAAAGATCATGTGCCACACGTGACCCATTTGTGAATTGTTGACATGAACATGTGGCTACCTGGAATGTCAAAATAATAGTTACTTAACTATGTAGTATTGTAAGTTTACAACAAAAATTCACCCTTATTAACTGCAAAGATCATGTGCCACTCGTGATCGTTTTTGTGAAGTGTTGGCTTCAACATGTGGCATTTTGGCAAGTAACCTTCACCATCCACTTACTTTGGGTGAAATTTTGCTAGTCAAGATGTTAATGGGCTAAATTTGCCACCAAAAGAACCATGAGAACTCCCTTGATGACAACAAAGAAGTTTGAGGGTTAATGTTTTCGGAGGTCTTGCCTTTTTTGCACTTTATTTTAGTTGGTTGGGACAAGCATTTTTGTAGGGGCGCCTCTAATGGAAAGACGATAATGCCCATGTAAGATGGTCATTAGAGCCTATTTTAAAGGGTAGTTTTGGTTTTTCATTGAGAGGATTGGCTGTTAATTATAAAAAGGGGTTGGTGTGAGTAATTGTATCACCGCCACAATATTAAACTTATTTTTATGGTTTGGGAAAGTACAAGCAATTAATTAAACCTTTTCCAATAATTAAATATAATTAAACAAAGATATCAATGTTGGCAATCGTGGATTCTTGCCTCCTAAATGTACAATTACGATAAACTCCCCAGCCCTTGAAAGTGCGGACCCGTACTTCGCGAAATTGCCCCCACAGATTTTCTTTTTCCTTTTGGCGTTGCAAAAAGAACAACAAATGTGGAAAAAAAATCTTAAAGCTATATTTACTGCTAAAAAAGTGTAATATGAATAATTTCACAGTTCAAAATTTGGTTTAAGATTTAAGTTTTATGGTTATTATTTAAAAAAATTAATTTTTTTAATGCATTAAGTGGGGATATGAAGCATATTCTTAAAATTTTTATAAAAAATATTAATATTAAAGTGTGCGAATTTGAAAGCACTTTAATCGTTTAAAGAAAAGAAAAGTGTAGAGATATGGACAACCTAACAACATTGATAGAAAAGTAATGACGATGGTCTAATAATGGTCCATCCTTCTTTATAGCATTTGTCACTGTTGCTTGGGATCGAGTTGAATGAATATGGAGGGTGGTCCTTGTCTCTACTTTGTGCAAATCCTTAAAAGATGTCTTAGAAGCATACTAATGAGTTGCTCAACTCTCTTAAATTTGGTACTTCTAGTCATCAACTACTTAGGTAACAACTTAAAGAACAAAAAGCCAAAGACCCATAAAACATTATAAAAGAAAAGAATTAATGCAACTAATGTTAGGAGAAGAACGAATATTTTATTAATTTAAATGAAAAATGTTTAATTTTTTTTAAACAAAATTTCACGTTCAAATACCATAAATAAAAAAATAAACGTTAAAATAATTTTTTTTATAAGATTTTAATTTTACTCGATTTTAAATTAGTCGAGATGTAATTTAACTCCCAAACAACAAGGGTTTAGTGAAAAGAAAGAATGTTAGGAGAAGAGAAAAAATGAAAGCAAGATGATAAAAAAAAAAGCCATATTCTTTGTGACTGTTTTTGAAAGAAAAACAAAAATGTTAAGGAGAAAATGGTAAAAGAGGGGAACTTGAGAGTGGGTTGAGGCGGGAGGAAGCGAAATCTGAAACGGTCGGTCAAATTTCACATCTTCCTCACGGAATCTTCTGCATGTCACCATTTGTTTAGTCCTCCGATGGATGGCGCTTTTGGGTTTTGATTTATGATTATAAATCCCATTTTTGGCATTTTCCTCTCATTTCCTTTGTTTTGGTTGGAATTGGAAATTTGGAATATATAGTTGCGTCACATGGAATGGAATGGAATGGACAAAGTAATTCCAATGTTACAATAATAGAAGCAATTTAACTCACGAGCGGATAGATAGGTTGGCAGGGATATTTTCAGTTTAATCATAGATTTTGGTTTTAAATCTTGAAAATATAATTTCGTTAAAACTTATGAGGGAAAGTTTTGTTATCTATTGAATCCTACTCAGTTTGAATCTGAATTAATCGATGACTCAATGAACTTTCAAATATCGGATGATTCATATAAAAAAAAAATAAGAGCAATTTATTAGGTTTCTAATATGAGTTTGGTGTTTTATAATTCATTAATTCGGTACAAGACTATGAACAAATCAATTTAATGATCATTGAAATCTGTTAGGTCTTTAATATAAATTTAGTGTTTTATAGTCCCTCCATCCTGCACGAGAGTGTAAACAAATCAAATTTGATAATCATTGAGATCTACCATTGGCCTCACTAATCACGAGGCTAAAGTGTTTGCAGTTTGGGTAAGATGAATTGCAAATCACTTCTTCGATTTACATAATAATTAACCAAAGCTATTCAGAAAATTTTGAACTGTAGTTATTTGGATCCTGACACTAACTTTGTTCGTTTCCCTTCATCACCATATACAAAACTCAAAAAAGATGCCAACTCTACTTTAGTTGTGTACAGCTTACTAACTTGCCTCTGCAAGATGCTATTTTGGTATGTTTGATTTTCTTCATCTAAGTTAGGAAAATGTTTGATCCCTCAAAACATCCTACCCCGCCTTATCCAAAGTTTCAGTTTTATCCTCATTCCTTGACCTGCCAAATGATTTCTGGGACTCCAAAACAGGCATGTGTGCTTCACTACTCTCCTTAATCTCATCTTTCACTGACTTCTCTGACTCTCCACCCTCTACACTATCAAATTTTGTGGTAGCCAATGCTACTGTCCCATCAGTTTTCCTAGCAGCAGCTGCACCAGAACTTGGTCCCTCTATTGTCAGCCTTGATGCCTCATCTCTAGAAGCGTACCAAGAATTCCCACAGGCAATGCACTCCAGCTGAAACACAAGAGAGAGAAAAATACTAGTACCTTTACTCAAACCACAAAAAACTCAATGTATATTCTGAAACATGCTTCTAAATTGCTGCTAGAAATAGAGACTACGAGTAAAAGACTTCATGAGAAACCAGAGCTACATGTTATTATGACATAAAATGTGTGCAAGCTTTTGAATGCCTTAACCTCCACTGCATATCATATGCAGCTGGAAGTAACAAACACTACAAATGCACGGTGAACACTAGTTGCTTTATTGAATTACTTGTGCGTTGTATATGTACAATTTCTAAACTCAAAACACATGCAGAAAAATGCACAGATAACTTCAGATTTTCCTTAAAAAAGAAATTAACATCATTGTGCATGCATAAGTATCTGTATAGATCCATATAAAAAATATAGCAACATTTCCATCAAAAGCAAGCTCAGCACCTTCAATTTACAGTGATAAGGGGAATAGATACTAGTTCTATAATTTAAGTCTTGAGATGAAAAACACCCACATTTGCATTCCATATCACTCAAGTTGGAATTATCAGAAGTTATTCTACAGAAATACAGGAACCAGAACTAATGTTGGAGAAGAAGCTCAAGAAGAAAATAGAAAGAAACCTGGTATCTGTCTCCATGTCCAGCTTGAATGATGTCCCTCAAGCCAACTTTAAACTCATTGCATCTTTTACACCGCGCATCAGTCATCTGCTTTTCAACAATAGAACATGTCATGCACAACAGAAAAGATTTCAAGAATACTATTGTTAAACCAAAAAAGAAAAAAAGAGTAACCTGCATGCGCTCCGAATCATCAGGCTCCTTTCTTGCTGTCTCTTCTGCTGTTAAACCCTCCTAAAGTTGAAATAAATAAGTTACAATCTTTTCTAACTTGCAATCTCACATCAGTTAAAATCAATACATGAATGTACAGGTAGATCCAAAGAAGCAGTGATGGTAGCAGATAGTAGTAGTAATGGTAACAGTAAAAGCAGCTATGACAAGCAATACTAAAGATTATACCTTCAACTCATTAGGGGACATGTTCAGTATTTTGGAAGGTTCCAGCTCCCCATTCAGTAGCCGCCGAGCTAGAACTTCATTATTCTAAAAAGCACAACGAAGGAAAAAAGATGCATAAGGATAAACATCACCAACTATGTAAGCAAGTGCACATGAGCCTGGGTACATCAGCAGAAAATCTTCTACCTTCAGATTGAAAACCAATTGTCGTAACTTTTGGTTATACTTCTGAAAATCTGAGGAAAGGGCATCATGTGCTACCTTCTCTAGAGCAGTTACTGCTGAAACAGCAGCATCTGGCCATGGAAAAGACTTTCCACTCTGCAAATTCAATAAAGGAAATAAGTATATCTGAGTCATAGCATCTCTCTGATGCTCAAAGGTTTAACAATGTGATAATGTCAATAACCAGGTTGCCAGAAAATATATATTCCTTTTAGAAAAATAGAACATCAATAACAATATAAAACATACATTTGAAATCTTTTCTTCAGCTTCATTTGCATTTACTGGACTCTTCTCCTTTTCATATTGTGCGACATCAGAGCCACCAATTCCTTTTTGCACCCCATCAGGAGAACTGCACATGTACTGAATTCCTTGAAGAAGCCTCTCCAACCATTTATCACGATGGGTTTCTCCAGTCAATACCTTAAACTTTGATAAAATAGTGTGATATTCAGATAGATTACTTGGGCAGCTTCCAGGAGTCTCAGCTTTAAGTTGATGGTCCAGCCTGGCAGTTGTTTCCTCATTCCTTGTGATGTCAAGTGGTGAAATGGTCCTTTTCCTAAGTGTTCTTTTAGTCTTCAAGGCATCATCCAGATCAACAGCATTCTCATCAGTCTCAATGTCAGGAAGATCTCCCAAACGCGATAAAGTTTTCTGAACAAGAATATCAATTTCATGTTGTTTAATATCCTCATAGTCTTTGTCAGTTAGCTTCCAGAGTTTTCGCTCAATAGTATCATAAACTTTTTGCACAATAAAACCAGGATGTTGCTTCCGACATGGTAGTTGCTTATGTTTTGGGACAAAGTGCACCACACACTTGTGCATAACAGACTCTGCTGGTACCTCATCACGGTGGAAACTATAGAACAGTTCACGCGTATCATCTGATTGCCAGTTTCCTCCACCCTTTTTTTCAGCTTCTTCAGGACGATAAAACCACTGTCCGGTAACCATCATGCTACCATCTTTGGTCTGTGTGATATCCTATTAGTAGAATAGGACAAACGCCTCATGTCAATTGCATAAATAAGACAGCAAGCATAACTTTTGAAATTTAAACAAAATACTCTACCAGTAAACCAACCTTAATGACTGCCACATAAGGTTTCTGGACTTGATTCTCAGGAACTAAAAGTACAGGATCTTCCTGTAGTACATACAACAAAAATGGGAATCAATAATGATACATACAAGTACAAGCGAAAATAAGTCTAGTGGTCATTTCTATCTTGAAATTTAACTCTTGAGAACTAAAAAGCTTCTGAATCCTATGAATATAAACACCCCTAAGCTCAAAAGTAAACCAACCAATCAAACAGGAGCAAAATTGTTAAGTGCACTAAAATCCCACAGAAAAGAAGAGAGGAAACTAAAAACTAAAACCCAAAATCAGACGAACGCTCGTATACTCACAAGTTCGTATCTATTCCCGTCAAACTCAAAGGCCTCGTAATGGTTCCTCCTTCCTCTCCCCTTCCCAGAAACCCTAACCACCTCCCCTACAGGCTTCGCGTCCTCCTGAACCTCCTCCTCCTCGTCCTCGTCCTCATTCTCCTCTTCTTCCTCCTCCACTCTTCGCTTCTCTTTCCTCTCCCTCCTCGATTGCGTCTCTTCTTCTTCTTCTCTATCCCCATCTTCTGGAAGCTTCGTTTTCTTCCGCTTCTCCCGCTTCTCCCGCTTCTTGTCGTCGGAGGAAGGGCCGGTGGGCCGCGACGACCTCCTGGAATGTTGTGGAAGTAGAGAGTCTTCGTCGTCGTCGTCGTCGCTTGTGGAGACCTGAGCAAACCTTCGCTTCCCCATTTCGAGATTTAACAGAGGATCGGCGCCAACAGAAACTGCCGTTACAACTTAACAGGAACCGGTTTTTATGGCTTTCGCAGCGGAGAACAGCCCGCTAATACCGACTCAAAGCCAAAAATAGACCCTGACTTCTTCTTAAATTACCAACATGACACTAAAAAGTTTGATGGGCTTAAAACTCACAGTTGAAGGCCCTCTACTTCGGCCCATGAGTTCTGCAGTGCCAGGAAGCCAGCCTACTTGTGTTGTGACTGTGATGGGCTTAATTTTTATATTTCACATTAAAAATTTCTAAATAAAGACTAGGTGAAAATCAGATTATTATGATAAGAATTTTTTTTAAAAAATTATTTTTTTTGGAATTGGGGAAAAAAATTAGTGAATTTGATTTCAGATTTAGGGTTCCAAATTTCAATTCCTAAGCATAGGAGGAGGAAGGAGATGAAAAAGTTGGCAATTCCCTATGATGGAAAACCAAGTGATGTTATTTAGTTAATTTGGTATTAAACAGAGTTAGTGAGTCCAGCAAATATTTGGAAAGGGTCTGCTGATCATAATTTCCACTCACTTGGTATCTTGATTAATAATTGCAAGTTGCTCCTAAGAGAGTTTTCTAATATTTAAATTTAACATATTTAATTTCCACGTCCGACGTAATGACTGAGATTTTTTATCAAATAGAAATCACATCTCATAAGTTGTGTGTTCAAGTTTCATGAACGACATTTTTCTCTCTTCCAAATTGCCCTTATTCAAGCAGCTACAAATTTTCTTCTAAAGTTAAATAACAACTGTACTTTGTGTTATAATGTGTATAATGAGAGTAAAAAAAAAAAAAAGAATATGAAAAGGGTAGTTAGGGAAGAAATTTTGCATGCTTAAGTTGTCTCAAATTAATTAAAATTTGAAAATTTGTTTTCCGTTATGATGAGATCAACAAGTACCAGCTGACCAAAGAATTTGCCGGAACCAAACAGTGGTTTATATTTCCAAAACATTTACATGTTCAAAGCATGTTACCATTTACTAACTTTCCCGCGATAGATTTGCATGCCAATTTATTTTTTTTTCCCCCTTGAATCAGATCATGCAGATATCAAGTTCTCTCCACTATCACAATTTCATAAAATAGGTACCAACTGTATGACCATCATCAATACCTGTATATATCTATGTACCCTTTTGTTACCCCATTCCTTTGTTCTTAATAATCTTCATAATTGTCAACCGGCCGGAATGTCATCGTCCTCGTCGAGTATGACAAAAAGGAAGAGAGGGAGATCAGAGAGGGTTTTCAAATTCAAGAACTTTGGAGAAAATGGGTACCCCGCAGAGATGAATCGCCATGGGTCATTTAGGCAAAACGTGAAGGTGTTACTTGAATATGGAAACCAAGAGATGAATCTGTGCAATGGAATGTTGATCTGGTCATTTCAACTCGAGGTCAACCGTCATCCTCCTCTCCATGTCCTGTTGTTCGTCGTGGAAGAACCAATTGAATCTTCCCTCAACCTTCATTGCAAACATTGCCAATACGTTGGTAAAAGTCTCTTACTCTTTACATATTAATTTTGATCAATCAAAATAGACTTACATTAATAAATCTCACAATTTTATGTATCTATTAAAGAGTTTTGTTTTATTAATTGCATTTTATGTGAATTGTACATTTGGTAGTTATTGATGAAAAAAAATGACCTCAACATTAAAAGTCTCTTTTTTCTATTAATAATTTTTTTTATACGTAGATATTAGAAATTAAATTATAAATTTATTAATAAAATTATATAATTAATGATTTTATGAATAATTATAATATATACACAAAACGAAATCCATGTCACTTTTTTAATTTATAAAATTCATTAATGGGAAACCGTGCACGTTATTTAAGATTCCAGCTAGAACTTGTTATCACCAAGCAATTTTTTTTAAAAAAAAAAAATCATAACACGACAAAATTCTGTTCAAAGTTCACATTTTTCTTATGTTTAGTAGTATTTATTTGACTAAGTTTAATGTGGACCCATTTCATTCCCCTGTCCCTGTGATTCTGTCCACACACACGTTCTGGGAAAAATCTACGTGACAAATTTTGACAGCACTGACTTTTTTTTTTATGCCACTTTAATATTTGTAAATTTATTTTTTATTTTGATTATATAATAAAATATTATTATTTTTTATTTTATTTAACTGTATAGTATGTAATTTAAATTTAAAATTTTTTATTTTTAATAAAAAAATAACTATTTAAATTCAAAATTTTTTACCTTTATAAAAAAATTATTAAATTATATAAACTGTTGACAATACTTCTAAATATGAAGATGAATTTGATAAATTTTTATCCTCTGTTTTTACCGAGTTAATGCATGTAGGATGGGGACATCATATGATCTGCAATAAGAAGTACCACTTTATGCTGCCGTCTAAGGATACCGTCGCCGCTTTTTTCAACTGCGACGCTAATTGCATCGACCCAAATCATCCATCCAAGGAAAAACTTAGTTTGGTAGAATTACAGGGCCATGTCATGCACGGTGTGTTCCACTGCAATGGGTTTGGACATCTCTTATGCATCAATGGGGTGGAGACTGGATCTGACTTGGCCGGACATCAAATCATGGACTTTTGGGATCGTCTTTGCACCGGCCTCCGAGCTAGGTCAGTCCCGTACGTGTTTGTTGCTTCATGTTTTCTCACAAGTTATTCGTTACTGTGACATCCGTTGGTTTGATGATTTTCTTAGGAAAGTGAGTTTATGTGACGTTTCAAAGAAACGAGGAATGGAATTGAGGCTTCTCCACGGACTGGCGTACGGCAAGTCATGGTTCGGTCGTTGGGGATACGAGTTCGGCCGTGGATGCTACGGCGTTACCCAGCCGGTTTACCAA